CCAGTTTCGCAGCGAAACAAAACAAGCAGTTTATTTCATACCCTACAGAATATCAGAGGCCAATAGATAGACCCTTGTGGCATGCCCATCGCTAATACCAGATTGTTTGCAGTATTCGAGAAGTGGAGTAAAAAGCCCTAGACGTGTACATTAATTGATTGTTTTCAAGTTCATTTTATCATAAAATTAGTGTTTTTATAATCAACTTTAAATTGATATATAAATACACCTATCATCGATTGTTCCGTTTTCATTTATATTCTCTTATGGTGCCTTTATTTTCACCTTGAACATTTCCCCTTGGTTAAGTCATACATTCCTAAATGCAACTCGTGTTTCTATGTCGGGTGTTTATCTGAAAGTCAGATGTTTGCCTCGTTAATCACAGATTGGCCTAAGGTTGTCGTACTTTTATTTACAGAGACCAACTTAAGGTGCGAATTGTGATTTCAAATTGACATAAAATAGCTTATAAAATTCCTAATGCTCTTCACAATTATTAACTCACTTCATAATACTCGTTTTATTTTGAAGTAGATCGGAGAGTGCGGTTTATTTATGAGAAATGCTTTTATTAGATGTATCTATAAGTGATAACCGCTAAGGGCAACTCAATACCTAGTTTATTTCTGAATTAAGAGAGACACGAAACATCTAGCTTACAATGACCATGTACATATGAATGATGTCCACATGGGGCGACTATTATTTTAAAATTGATCTCCCATGAAGTAATTTTGTCGTTGTTTTCATGTTCCAGAGCTACCTTCTATCCGAGAGCTTCGCCTTACGAAATCCAATTCCAAACTGATTTGACTATTACATTGACGGGCTCTTGCACGGGATAGGATATGTTTGTATTTAAACTTCTAGACACACTTGAAAATCAACAAGGTTCTCGAACCATGTTACTACCATGGTCTCTGAATATGTCGGGGGAAAAAGGCAGGTTCATCACACATCTTTCATTTCTCGTATATCTCTGGTTAGTCGGATCTAAAAATAAGCGGTGCGGTAATACATTGATCTAACGAGGATTAAAGCGATGTTATCTGTTTGGCTTTCCGGTTGCGTTTAAAATCTGTCAATCATTTTTAAGAGATAAAATGATAGTGTTCCGAGAGACGAGGACCTTCGTTTGACTCGTAGAAATACACATGCATGGGTTACCTATTGTTAAAAGCAAGGGTTAGCGTTAAAGTCCTACAAACAGAACGTATAAAAATCAACACACGTATCAAATGGCCAAGACCTTCACATAGCGAAATCAAACATTTTAATGGTTTTAAAATGTTTATTCACGAATCCAGACGTTGGCCCAGATCCCATTTGTGAAGGGTGGCAACCATTTGTATATTAAAGTCATTCAAATACTAATAATATTCACTATGAAATTGCACGAGAAAATCACACCCCTTTCGTTGCTTAGTCATAACCGTCATAGGATAACCTTAGTATACATACCAATAGCTGTGCGTTTAACTCAAGAAAACACTGATATAGCAGTTCATTCGGATCCGTTCTTAATATTCTAGAGGTTCGACCATGTGTACTGTTTTTGTTAATAAATAAGTAGTATACGTGTAGATGATGTATATTTTACTTTATTTAGACTGTGAACTTATCTGGAACAGCATCTTTCTTCGTGTTATTATTTTTTAATTTTCTTATATCAAATCTTACATTTTAAAATGATACAGATACATAAACTGTAAACTATACAACAACAGTTTCACACACAACTGGTAAATATAAAGGGCGGGAAGGATTTGGTATATTCAATATTTTAATCTATCGTCTGATGCCTCCGGGCAGGTAATTGAATCCAGACCAAGACAAACGCTAACACTATATCAAGGGTTTCTCCCCTCAAGTATAAAAACGTTCACACCAAAAAGTGTTAAATTCGACATGTTGAGAATTTACTAAGAAATGAAGAACCAAGTACGTTCCTTAAGTTATTTATGCACACAAAGGACAATAGAGAGTAATCAAGTTAATGTTATTATCTGCTAAGTGAGGATAAAGATTGGATCCTTTTTTTTTTCTCAGGAAAAATTTAATTCCGGAAAGGATAAATTTAGAATAGATTTAGTGAATACACTTCAATATACAAACTCGCTAATAAATGTTTTAATAATTATTAATCACAACAAAATATATAACGATTGTCTTCATAGTCAATAGTTCAATATCCATAAGATGTCTGAGCAAGATCGATATCAGTAATATTGAACCGCATCAAAACAAATGTGTGTTTTAAATGTTAACACAATTTTAACATCTACATAATGAAATGTTGTAAACTTCAATTGTTTATATTGGTTGTATTTTAATGGGATTTGTAGTGGAATTATAGACTTCTGCTCTATATCCACGAAATACAAATGACTAGAAACTCATATAAAGTATGGGGGATCACGGTGGCTAAGTGGGTAAGACGCTGGCTCGCTAGCCTGGAGGTCGGGTGTTCGATCCCTGCATTGGCCGAGAAAGTTCATCCAGATTTTCCGGCGTGGTTCCCCCTTGTCAATGATACAGGACGGAGGGCCTGACAAAGACAGCTGTCTAGTCATTCCGAGGCCCCGTGTACACATTGGCGTGCACGTAAAAGATCCCTTGGCAGTTGGAATTCGATATAATAGTAGGCCGTAGTGTCGCTGTCCGGGCAAAATTTCCCTCATCGCACACTGTATGGCGTATGCCCGTCTTCATTAGCCTAGTTCGGAGCAAAACAGTACTACGTTAAACCCCATTTCATTTCATATAAAGTACATAATGTAGTCGACAAAAAGTTACTTTCAATATATTTAGAAATGCATAACAATTCAAACATTACAAACATTTATTATGTGTGTTAATATATTTCTAATTTTGTCAAATGGCCAAATTCAAATTTTAGGATTGCCCCATAAGGAAATTTTCAAATGGTTTTAATCATTATTCTACGCGCATATAAAAAGCTGGACCGATTGAGTGAGACATTAAGACATTAATATAGCATTATAGTTTCAAATATGCCTTAAAACAAACCTCATCTTAACCATACCAAATGAATCATTTACAAATTACCCAAAATTCCCCAGTGACATGTCTTGTTGGTAGTAATTTACAACATTTCTCTCCTCCCTAAAGAGATGAACTCCACTTAAATGTGTAAGTAATGGTAGACTTAGTGTATCATCAGCATAACAAGACATACGTCTCAATTGTTTAAGACAATGACTAGTCCCTAGGGGAGCGATCAGTTTTACTCTCAACTCCCCTCACAGCGAAACCACCCGTCAATCAACTCTAAAATGGCGATTGTAATTTTACTAAACGGTTTCTACACTAGAATTAAACACAACCTTGCAATCAAGATGTAATTTGGGAATTGAAGCCAACAACTGAGTAATTTTATCGAAACAAAACACCACATTGTAGGCAATATTACGCCAAGATTTTAAACAGATTTATTTCAAATCCATTTAAGTGAAATAGCGTTTCTGACATCTAGCACCGTTCTACCGCTATTAATTCTATTGAAATTGAAACCGTGTTGGAAAATCGAAAGTCACCTATTATATGTACAGAGATTATGGTACATATTTGGTGAGAAAACAGGATCCAAGACGACATCGGTATTTTTCTTTTTGTTGGATTGGGACAATATTCCATTCCGTTTATCAAGCACTTAATCAAATGTCACTAGACATATTTAAATATCATATGCACGGAACAGTTAATTAATGGTTGAAAGGCACCTTTTCCAATTGTGGCACGGGTAATGTCTATGAACTCTGCTATATAAGATGGGTTCCCGCGTAAGGCATTTAATACCGGTGTCAAAGGTTATTTCAGAAGACGTTTTTCAATAATTTAAAAAGTTATCTGTAGCAAGTTCAGGTTGTCATTCGATTAATAAGCACGTGACACGAGATACGAAACGAAGGCTAAAACATGAATCCAACAGAGCCAGATATGGCGACCCACCAGGTCATTAGACGTAAACATAGAAAACGTGCATACAACACGAGATTTGACCCAGCATGTGTTGGCAAGAAAACACGGAACGTTGTTAATTTGTAAGATAAATTGTCAAGAATTACTTCTTACAGCGGAAGGATTTTTGTTTTAGCTCTGATCAACTGTAATGATGGTAATTATCCAGGTTTTGGCCTCGTGCTGGGTGGCAGGATTTCTACAAATATTCCATTCAAGGAAAGTCAGCAAGAAAATAAACTTTGTATTCCAATCGACACTTACGAAAGTTCTCAAATTTAACAAAAAATAAAATGAAAAGAGCCATGAGTCCCAACGAGTATCATTTACCATACAGTTTATCGAACTCAATATATTTTTTTCTGAAAGTTTTTTGTATAGACAGTGTAACGTAGTAATAGTACGGCTGCATATTGGTATATTTAAAATACAAAAACGATCGAAACCTTGCTTTGACCCTTGTCTCCCGACCCACTTACACATATTTTTCAAGCAAAAGAGAAAGAAAAACAAAAACTCTCGTGCTTCTGTCATTAACTGAAACGATGTCAGAAAGGTAAACAAAATAATATATCGGGACGCTTAAAAAGGCGATATATGCAATATATGTTTCCCCGATAGGCGTGTGATGATATAGCATAAAAAATACACCAAATTTGTCGATAATTCTTGCTCATTTTAACACTAAATAGCGTATTTTAATCTGAGTAACTATTGAAAATAGAGAGGAAAACTAAATTAAGCTGTCGAAAAATTGACATAATTATCCTATAATATCAAGCAGAAAACAAACAAATAGGAATTTGGCATTTTGAGCGAAGAGAGAGCGAGACATAGCGTCGCCTTGAGCCATATTAGCATGGTAATTTGGTTCAAGTTAAAAGTAGTGAATAAGAGTTGCTGGATGTTACGAGTCGTATTGAATATGAAAATAAACCCTCCTCGGGTTAAAATAGTTCGACTACCAAAAGGTCAAGCGAATTAACACTTTTTGTTTAAATTGTTGTAATACATACCGGAAGCGGTTTGATACTCTAGTAGTCCAGAACAATTAGTCCCTGGTAGCATTCTGAAAAATATCAAATATAATGCACATGAATAAAGAATATACGATACACGCAATATTGGTGTAACACTACTTTGACTCAAACTAGGGAAAGCTACTTTCACAGTCTGAAAATTGGGAATGTAGCGGGTAACGAAGGTGGTATGGATGCAAGGCACTGTTGGATAAAAACAGCAACAGCAGGAATCAAAGTACCCAACTGAGACTAAAGCCATGTACAGTTTAGATAACAAATTTGAAACACGGTAGTCCATTTCATAAGGACAACAAAAGTACAAATAAATTAGTAATCTAGGCTATGTGAACTAGCTAAATAAAAAGTGGTACCACGAGCATAATAAGGGGTAAATAAATGGAACGCACCTTGCCTAAAAGTTTTGACAAAGCAGACAGTGAAGTAAAAAGAAACAAAAATCACCTAAGAATTAGTTGCTAGCTTTGGTGTGATTAAACTTTACTAGATAAATAACTGCTAGTTTGAACAAAATAAGTTTGTTGTTTTGTTTTAGGCGGGGGGGTGGGGGTGGGTCATCTGTTTCACCAGGTATGAAACGAATATGAATGCGAAGTACTATAAAGATTGTGTGGTGTTCGGACAAATTTGATCAAATTCTAAACTTTATTAATATCTTAACATCATTGAATGGGTTAGTTTGTGAAAGAGGAAATGACGTAAAGTAAATACACCAATATACACATCCCGCAGCAATTCACTTGCCCATGATGATCGGTTAATATCTTCAACACTTCTGCTTAATTGTTTAATGGTGGGAAAGTGACAACAAATAAATAAGAGACCCTTTATAGTAAGTACAGATCGTCTTGTCAACAAATTAATGTTAGGGCACTTAATTAGTCCAAGTTGTGATAAATCTTTATACAATCTTCTTAAACAACGTACTTTATACCATATAATCAACAACAGCTGCTTTCTCCTCATTCCCGCGCTTTTGCCATCGATATTATCTAATATTTAAGAGGTGGCATTAATAAAACGTGTTCCTATAACCCTACTAAAACGTATAAAGTTAAAATGCTGTGTAGGAGCTGACACGTGCGATGTAAGTATTAACTTGTAATAAAAATATAAATACACATTGATGAATTAAATTGATCCATTTAATGGTTCCAGTATGGTTTTTGGGGAGTTCTGGTGGATAGCTGTAGCTTGTTTATAAACTTTTGACATTTTCATCAAAATCTAATGATATTTAATTCGTTGCTTTCAAAATTTTAATTTTTAATGTTAAATTGTATTTTCATCGGAATCAATAAACGTTTATATCATTATTTGCTATTTAAGTGGCAAATAATTGTCCATCCTATGTAAATTAAATGAAATAATGTAAAAGGGCATGGGATATAGTACCTTAAACCAACATAAACGTGTCCATTTTTTCTATAAATGCAAATTTGATGAGTAACAAAACCCATGTTTATTTAGGCAGTTTTTAAAATAAACAGAAATTCTAATGAATGTGCAGGAAAAAAATCAGTAATTGATTTTAAATAGTTTCCTTTGTCAAAAACGCATGCTTGAAGGATATTTCACATGTAATAAAATCAGATATTTAGTTAGAAGTTTATATAATGTCCATTTTTTATTTAAATTAATATCTAACTTAACCACAAGCAACACGTTCCGAGTTCGACCCTTTCGCCTTATAATAATATAATAATGATGAGAGACATGTAGAAAAGGGTGGGGGTGATGAACTTTCACATATATGTGGATTAGATACGACTTAACATAATTTCATATCAATATTTTTATATTTTGGCAAGCATATGTGATAATTTATTATTTGTTGTCATTTTATGTGATTAATTGTTTATGACGTATTAAACTCATGTTTTTGTCTTGAAATATGCATCTATTGGTGAATTTCTTCTGCCAATACATGTAGATATCTAAATTTCAGTTCTTTTTTGTGGAATTTCCGCATAAACGTCTGGTCATTTGCTAGAGCAGGATGTATTCTGGTCTGTAATTGACTAATTGATAGATGTGAGCACGTGAAGACCACCTTGAGGTGAATTAGTGTCATCCTTACGTCATAACGTGTCAATGATGAACGTAACATGGCGCTGCAAGAGTACTAAGATCTGTTCATTGTTGGTGGGATTTTCCACATGATCAGTCAGTAATCCAAGTGGAAAATATATTGAACTTATTCCACCTCTACTAATTAGTTGAAGTGTCGCTCTGATTTCTGTCAAACGAGATGAAGTGCAAAGGTGGCTAGTTTGGTATTTAGAATAATCCGCCATCTTTGAAATATGTGTTGAATAGACAAGTATGTATTATCCGTAGTTGTCACATACTTATAGACTAGTTGTTGACATTAAACCAGTTAGCCGTTCACAGATTCGTAATGGGTTGATTTAGTTCGATTATATCAATATTCCCGTCTTCCTATGTATTCGTGAAGAGCATATCTGGCGTGTGGATTTAGAGGGGAATATGCGTTCAGTTAAATAAATGCGTTAGTAAGTCTAGCAATATTCAACAATGGATATAAAACACCACAGATCCGTAAATAGGCCATCTAAATTTCTTATCATCTGAAACTGTGGAAATGCAGGAATTGAAAGTTTGGATTATGTAATATTATTTGATAATGATGACAAATATATTCGAAACATTTGTCGTATTTTGTTCGTAACCAAGAAATACTTGAGATTAATACCACTCAGATTTTCAAGCAAATGTGTTACTAATGCTTTCTTAATTGAGACGTTTAAAATTTGCCACTTAATTAATTATACTAATTGATGTCTGATTAACGTCAACCTAATTAACTGGTGGATTTGTGGGGACATGCCGTGATGGTACGATTATCCAGTCTTCCCTTAAGTTACCGTCCATAGGTATTATGAGACTTTGTCTGCGATATCACTTCTGTGGAAGCAGACGTTAAAGCACCAAGGTAGTAAGAATAAGTTTATTGCAGTAATATAGGTCAAAAGGACCAAACGTTACAAGTTTGAATCAACTAGAAAATGATATGTACAATTATATTTTAAAAGGAGCTATTCATTACAAAATTATTAATTGTTGACAATTGGAGGTTAATATACAAATCTGATATATCTAACCTATAATACTATAAGCAAGTCTGATGATAAATTTATAAAATTTATACAACGTGTGTTTATGTAATCAACTTTGAAATATCTGTATACTTTTGTAGTAGCAAATATGCAAATGAGTAGGTTATATTTACAAACAATCAACTGGCACGGGCATAATTATTTACAGCAATTTATACATGATACTTGATGACCTTTCCTATATAATTGGAGATCGATAACAATATACAAAGATCGCTAGAATTTGACCGGTTTGGATATTACAACGACTGATATTTACCAAATGTACACGTTCAAAACAAACATGCATTCAAAAATAAAACGAAATAAATCTTCATCACTTTGATGACATAATGGAAAAGTAGTTTAATTTCGTCTATGCAAATTCAAATATGTTGGTAATAGATTTAGCTTAAATTTTGTAATATTTCTTCTGTGTTTTAACCGAATGTTCGACAATAAATAAGATTCCTGAACTAGACTTATTTTGAATTAGCAATAATCTATTAAAATTTCGCTTTCTGATAATTTAGCTGACCATTCTTGTAAGTTTATATCTGTTAAGCGTAACTTAAATTGACTTATAAACATGTTAAAATTGCCGATCATTTCAGTTTCAAAAACATAACCAAATCCTAAGGAATGTAACATAATTCTGACCATTGTAACCCAACTAACCCTGCCGGCTTTGTCTAATTCCTTTAACGCAATAAATACTTGTTTAGTAGTAGTAGTAGTAGTATTATGAGACTCAGTAATTGAAATAAACGGATACGGCCAGTCATGGTGATAGCATGTCGCCATTTTGTTTTTATACCTAGGGTGTAGATTTCGACACATTCGAAACCCTTCATCACTTTAGGGTTGACATTTCCACACGTCATCAAGTCAAGACGACAAAATATCTCAATTTCGTAAATAATTGTTCAATTTTGTAACCTTGATAACTAGAGTGTTTCACATTTGTCAGGGATTGGTGCTAATGCTGCGATTTATAAACAATATACAGATTATTTGATATTTTTTATTCTTTTTACAGTCTCGTCTGTCGTTTGGAACTAACTGTCAGCATTATTTATTTTCTAATGCGGAAATAATCTTGATACTATACCTCCTTTTTTATATGCTGACGGTATTGGTAACAAAACAATAGCGCGAACGGGTCTGAAATCGAGGACATGTTTTTTCCTTGAAATCACCAAAAAGATTTAGATATAAAGCAAACTGATTTTTGATCAATGTTACACTTGAATTTTAAACAGCTTGGTTTTAACAAAAGATCTATTACTGCAACGGTGACCTATCTTAGATAAAATCAACAGTGTCAAGTCTAAAACAAATTGAAAGTATTCAAAAGTTGCATAGCCTTTAAGAAAAAAAAAATTAAAATGTCGCATGTTCCTGATGACGAATGCATGCTATATCACAATCTACTGTTAATGTTGTTTATTTACAACATTGGGGTTAATGATACAAATAAAGTCTACTTGTTTGTCAACATTGGTGTTTACTGTTAAACTCAGATCTCTTAGGGTGTGAGCTTTATAGTAATATAGTTATTAAAGCTGGTCTTTTTTGCTGGCGAATTTCCGGATTACGAAAGCCTGTAGCCTCTAAATTTTGGTTAATCTCTCTGACAGCGAATTAACCACAAAACGAAACCAAAAAAGAGCATAATCAGTATGAACTGAGATTTTGGGGTCAAGGGTCACTAGGTTTGCTATGATTTATGTAGAATTTATTACATATTTAATTATATAATTACCGATAACTCTTTTGATATGCCACAGTCGACACTAACCTTTAAACAGGGATAATTATCAATGTCTAGTGTCGCGTGTAGTATGAATATTTAGTAAATATGAATATCCCTAATTGTTATTATTCTTTGATGACTATATGCTAGAATA